ATCGGTTTGAGTCCAGCTTTCTGAGTTTGTTCTTCTCTTCCCCCTTTTTGACATTATCAAAATGATAGAAAGAGCATGCTATATATAGTACTAAACTACGGAGGGAGTAGTAAATCTGAATTCATGAACGATTAAGCATGCGCACACAGTTCATATGCAACCAGAATGAGAATATCAAATTAAAAAACAAATCAAGCCAATTGATTTCAAACCGAATCAAAACAAAATCTATAAAACAAACCAAAAAAGATCCAAAATTAACAAAAGAAAAACTGAACAGAAGAACATTGTTCATAAATCACAAGAGACAGTGGGGTAGGTATGTTTGGCAGAGAGTGGAAGTGGTAGGAGCTTCATGGTAAAGGAACATCTTTGATTGCCTTGAGAATGGTCTTGTAGCACTGTTCCTTCACCGTAGCTTTGACTTCCTGGGATGAGGAGTCCATATGAGCATTGATTTTATTTTCCAGAGAAATCATCTGAGTTTGCAGCCCCTCAACTGTAGTAGCCAAGTGATCCACTTTAGAGGTAAGGGTAGTTATACTCTGTGTAAGTGTAGTGGACAAATGCTGAAGTTCCTCCTGGATTTGCAAGAGACTTGGACCAGAGCTAAAAGCGCTGAATCCGAAACCGGAAGTACAAGGCTGGGAAGCAAGGGGAGAAGGTATGGTGTGGTGAGCAGGGGATCGAATTTGAGGTGGTGATGGAGTTCCCTCTGGAACAGAAGAGGAGGGGCCCGGAGGAACTTGGGTGGAAGTTCCTTCAGAAACTTTAGTTGATTCTTCATCCAACTCAACAATGACAAGCTCAGAATGCAGGGGTTTGGGTTTGGATGAAGCAAGTCTGACACTCCTCCTTCGTCTGCCTGGTATAGGGGTGTCTTTGACAGAACCCCCAACTTCCTGAAGTACTCTTGCAGTAATGCCTCCTGAGCATCCTCTTCCTCCTTCTCATTCTCTTGATCATCCTCTTCCTCCTCCTCATTTGCACTCTCTACTACCCTATCACTCTTAACTTCTTCTACCTCTTCTTCACAATCCTTCTCTGGTTCTTTCTCTCCAATTGCATTTTTATTTTCCTCACGATTTTTCTCTTTCTTGTCTCCTTCCCCCTCACTGTGTTCCCCCTCGGAATCACTTTGCACATTATATGCAAAACAAACATTCCCATTCACCACTTTTAATTTCAGCTTTAACAATGATTTTTCTTGAAGGATGTGTTCAGGTTTGAGAATGTAAGTCTCGGTTTGTGGCAAAGGAACTTTCAAATCCTGAAACACCACTGTCAAAAGGGAACCATAGGGTATGTGTAGGTCGGGAATGCAGTGGTCTAGGTGGGCTATCATTAAGGCAGGAAAGTTAATGCTAACTTTCTTTGCTAGACAGAAGATAAGGGATGCATCTAACAGGGTTACAGTGCTGCGTTTTTGGGAACGAGGAAGAATTCCTCTCCAAATGATGTTGAACAATAGTTTATGCAAAGGAGTTAAGGCATTGTGGTTAGTTGTAGTAACTTTCGGGTTTCCACCAATAAATGTGACAATTTCGGTTTCATTGTGGCCATCTACGGTGTTTTTGGATTTGTTTTTGACATAGGTTCTATATCCAATATTTGGGGTTTTAAACAATTTGGCCAAATAACCTGCATCAAACTCAATATTCACACCACCAACCGTAGCACTACATACACCATCAACGCAAACAAAAGAGGAGCAAAATTCATCCATTAATGTAGGATAAATTGGAAACTTTGAACATACATCCAACAAATATATCCAATTTTGATAATCCAACAAATCTAAAATTTCGAAAAACTTACAATTCGTGCACCATGAGTGATCAATTGCATACCCAAGTAAGAATTTGTCGTTTCGGGTTTGCCGGGCTTTGGTGCGACGGGCCTTAGTTTTTTCTGGTTTTTCCTTGGGTTGAGTAGCCTTGCGTTTTGGTGCGTGAGAGGAGGAAGGGATTATCATAGTTGGAGGGACGGGTTTTGATGGTGAGTTCCGTCCGGATCGTCGTTCTAAGGGGTTGGAATTTATGTTGGTTTTCATGGTTGGGTGAATTTTGAGAAAGTAGGAGAAGTGTATAAATGGAGGTTGGTGGGAACGTGAAGGTGAGGAGGGGTTTGTGGGGAGTGACGGGTGATGATAGGTGATGAAGTTGAAGGGTTTGTAAAAAGTGACGGTTTAAGGGGTGTGGTGAAGGGACGGTTTAGGTGAAGTGAATGTGGGAGTGAATGTGGGAAAGCGTGTTAGTGGGGAGGTTGAAAGGTTGTGTGGTTTATTTACAATAAAAAGAAAAATAAAAATAAGATAAAATCTAATTGAGAAAAAAAATCTTTTTGTTGTTTTGGAATTTATAAGATGAAAAAAGATAAAATTAAAAATTTAAAGATAAATAAAAATGCCAGTAAGTTACTTCAGAGTAAAATACTGGTTGACCTGTACAGAGCTTTTAAAAAAAACTTGGAAAATAATATGGCTTAATTTGTCTTCTTTATTGACATAATCACATGATCACACACTCATTAGAATTACATGCTTGTTCATTGCAAGATTCGAGATTATGTTTTTCACACCAAGGTTATATATAGCAATGCTCAGTCGTTTCACTAAGACATACCTTGGGGTTCCAAGAAGAACTGCTCAATTCAGCTTTATCATTCCGAGTTCCAATCGCATCTTTTCGAATTTTTCTCTACTCAAAGGCTTTGTTAGAATGTCAGCAATTTGATATTCAGTTTGTACAAATTCTAATTTAATAGAGCCTTTTTCCACATTGTCTTTTAGAAAGTGATGCCTAACATGAAAATGCTTTACACGTGAATGATGTACTGGATCTTTTGAGATGCAAATAGCACTAGTATTATCACAGTATATAGGAACACATTCTAAAATTATGCCAAAATCACGCAACTGTTGCTTTATCCATATTAATTGGGAGCAACATGCAGCAGCAGCTACATATTCTGCTTCAGCAGTGGATAGAGCAACAGTGTTTTGTTTCTTGGAACTCCAAGAAACTGGACAAGAGCCTAAGAATTGAACCATACCTGACGTGCTCTTGCAATTTACTAAGTCCCCGGCATAATCTGCATCAGCAAATCCTTTGAGATCGAATGTATCACTTAGTGGGTAGAATAAACTCAAGTCTGCCGTTCCTTTAAGATATCTCAGTATTCTTTTTACGGCAGTTAGATGCGACTCTTTTGGATTTGATTGGAACCTAGCACAAAGACCAACACTAAAAGAAATGTCAGGTCTACTTGCAGTTAAATATAATAAGGAACCAATCATACCTCTGTACATTGTCTGGTCCACACAAGTTCCTGAGGGATCTTCGTCTAATCTAGAGTTAGTTCCCATAGGAGTGTGGTTAGTCTTTGCGTTGTCAAGGTTATACTTTTTCAGGAGTTCCTTGACATTTTTTTGCTGATGTATAAATATTCCTGATTCTGTTTGTTTGATCTGCAGTCCTTAAAAGAAATTGAGTTCCCCCATCATGCTCATTTGGAACTCACTACACATCAAGTCAGCAAAGTACTTGCACAAAGATTCGTTAGTTGCACCAAATATAATATCATCAACATAGATCTGTACAACTAAAAGATGAGTTCCTTTAGATTTTAAAAACAAAGTTTTATCAATTTTTCCTCGTTTAAAATCATTTTCCAAAAGGAACTTAGACAATCTTTCATACCATGCTCTTGGAGCTTGTTTTAGTCCGTAGAGAGCCTTATCAAGTTTAAAAACATGGTTTGGAAAATTTGGATTCTCGAATCCAGGGGGTTGATCGACGTAAACTGTTTCTTTTAATAAACAATTCAAAAACGCACACTTTACGTCCATCTGATACAGTTTAAAACCCATAAAAGCAGCAAAAGATATTAAAATTCTAATAGCCTCAAGTCTAGCAACAGGAGCAAATGTTTCCTCAAAATCAATACCCTCCTGTTGGTTATATCCCTTTACAACCAACCTAGCCTTATTTCGTACAATTGTACCATATTCATCAAGTTTGTTTCGAAAGACCCATTTTAAGCCTATGACCTTTTTATCTAGTGGCTTAGGTTCAAGATGCCGTACCTGATTTCTTTCGAATTCATTGAGTTCCTCTTGCATGGCTATAATCCAGTCAGGGTCTTCTAAGGCTTCTTTGTGGTTGCGAGGTTCCAAAGTAGATAGAAAAGCATTGAAGGCACAGAAGTTCCTCATTTGCGATCTAGTCTGAGTTCCTTTGCATAAGTCACTGATAATTTTGTCCAGTGGGTGTGACTTTTGGTGCTTCCAAGGTTTAGGCTGGAAGGTTTGGATAGGAACTCGACTATTCTGATTTCCTGAGCCTGTTGCTTCTTCTTCAGTGATTTCCTCTTGTGTTATTGGTTCCTCGGCAGGTTCTTCATTCTGAGGCTGTTCTCTCGAAGGAACTTCAGTCTGTATGTCGAGTTCCTTCTCTGGATTTTCATGATTTTCATTTAATCGAGTTGGCTGCTTATTTGGAATTACTGCATCTTCTTCTTGTTCTTGAGGACGTACTAGACCAATTTCAAAGTCATAGTCCTCATGTTCCTGTGTACATGGAAGTGGATTAGTTTCATCAAATATAACATGCACACTTTCCTCAACACACATAGTGCGTTTATTGTAAACTCTATACGCTTTACTGTTAGTAGCATATCCGAGAAATACGGCTTCATCACTTCTTTCATCGAATTTCCCTATGTTCCTTTTACCATTATTATGCATAAAACATTTACAACCAAATGCTCTCAGATGAGATATATTCGGTTTTCTGCCTTTCATAAGTTCATAGGGTGTCTTATTTAATATAGGCCTTAGCATGACACGATTTATAATATAACAGGCTGTATTCACGGCTTCTGCCCAGAAGTTCCTTGGAAGATCGCTGGCTATTAACATGGTTCGAGCCATGTCTTCTAAGGTTCTGTTCTTCCTTTCCACAACTCCATTTTGCTGTGGAGTTCTTGGAGCTGAGAAATTATGACTTAAGCCTTGTTCCCTGCATAAATCATCAAATTTAAAATTCTCAAATTCAGTGCCATGATCAGATCTAAGGTGTATCAGTTGATGTCCGGTGGACTTTTGAATTCTCCTGAAAAATGTGACAAACTCATCAAAAGTCTCATCTTTGCTAGACATAAAAATTACCCATGTGAATCTAGAATAATCATCAACAATTACTAAGACATACTTCTTTCCACTTCTACTTTGAATCCTCATAAGACCACACAAATCCATATGAATTAACTCTAAAGGTTTCGTGGAACTCACCATTTTCTTGGATTTAAAGGATGATCTGACCTGTTTTCCTTTCACACAAGCATCACAGATTTTGTCACATAGGAACTTGATTGAAGGAAGTCCCTCTACCAAGTTCCTTGTTCTTAATTTATCAATCAAAGAGAAACTTGCATGACCAAAACGTTTATGCCACAGTAAAGGATCATCCTCAATGACACTGAGGCAAGTTAAGTTGTTCCTCGGAACTGTATTGAGATCCACTGTATAAGTGTTCCCTTTCCGAGTTCCTTCCAGCAAAACTTTCCCAGTGTCATTCTGAATGATGCTACATTTTTCAGAATCAAAACTTACTGAGTTTCCTTTATCACAAAATTGTGATATGCTTAATAAGCTGTGTTTGAGGCCCTCGACTAAAAAAACGTTATCAATAGCTTGGGAACTTGACCTTCCAACTTTTCCTACGGCAACAATGCTGCCTTTCTTATTATCACCAAAGGTCACAGTTCCTCCTGTATAGGCCGTCAGTGAGAGAAATCTTGATTCATCTCCTGTCATGTGCTTGGAACAACCACAATCGAGGTACCATTGGTTGTTCCCCCTCACTACGACCTGCAAAAGAAACTAAGGGTTAGATTCAGGAACCCCATCTTTCATGGGTTCCTTCGTTGATACAGCAGACTCATTTTTCTTTTGCCATACATAAACTATATTTTTAGTGGACTTAAGTTCCTTTCTTTTGCATTCAGTATCTTTGTGTCCTGACTTGCCACAGAAGGAACACACAGTCTCACTAGGAAGTTCCACATAGTTTTTCTTTTTACTACTACTCTTCTTTTTGTGGTTGAAACCCAAACCTTCTGTCCTTCTGGTTTGAGCTTCAAGTATCCACTTTGGAACTCCCATGTGGATTACACTCTCATTGTTTCTTGCTCTTTCTAGATCCTTTTCAAGGAACTCATTTTTGTCTTTAGTAACCTGCAATTTTTTTTTCAAATTTTCAAGATCATCATTAAAGGTTACTAAAGGCAATTGAAGAGCATTATTAGAATCAATGTTAGTGCATAGCAATTTATACTGAGTCAATTCAACATTTAACATGATATTTTCATTTTTGACTCTTTCCAGTGTTTCTTTAAGCATAGTATTTCTATCTAGCAAATCAAAGAATCTTCCCTGAACATCTGTTCTTGAACTATTCAAATATTTCATATGATCCTTATAGATTTCTAGAGCTTTTTCATTTTGTCCAAGTTTAAGACATATTTCTTTATATTCATCCAATGTTTCTATGAGCAAAGAAATTAATTTGTCTTTTGACAGGGATTTCAGAAATTTAGGTTCGAGATTTACCTCCTTTGACCTTTCACTGTGTTTAGCCATCAAACACAGGTTTGCAGTTTCTTCTTCCGTGGATTCTTCTTCATCCTCAGAACTTGTGTCTCCCCACGCAGCTATCATGGCTTTCCTGTAATCAGATTTTGAAAAGTTAGGAGTATTAGATTTTCCGTGTTCCTTCATTTTGCCTTTTCCTTTTTCTGATTCCCAGAGAGGGCATTCCTTGATGAAGTGATCTGTGTTCCCACATTTGTGGCAACCTCCTGTTTCCTTGGAGTATTGGTTCTTCTTGAAGTTCCTTTTCTTTTGGTCACCAAACCTTTTATTGCGGTACAGCTTTTTTAACTTCCTGACTAGCATGGCAGCTTCTTCCTCTCCAGATTCGGAATCCTCATCACTTGGTTGGGCAACTATTAAAGCGATTCATCGGCTTTTTGAGCTTTCTTGACTTTTGTTTGATAGGTGAAGCTCATGAGTTATCAAGGAACCTGCAAGTTGTTCAAGGTTAAAGGTTAAAAAGTCCTTTGATTCCTGCAAAGCAGCCACTTTGGCTCTCCACCGTTCATCTTGAGGAAGGCTTCTTAGAATTTTGCGTACATGTTCATCCATAGGAACAACTCTACCAAGAGAAACTAATTCATTAGTAATATTTTTAAAACGAGTAAACATTTCTTGAATAGTTTCTTTTGAACCCATTTCAAAACGTTCATATTTAGAAAGCAGTATATCAATTTTAGAACGTTTGACTTCATGAGTTCCTTCGTGGGTTATTTCTAGTAAATCCCATATTTCTTTTGCTGTTTTACATCCCATAACACGAGTGTGTTCATCTGGCCCTAAACCCCAAACTAGGAGTTTTTTAGCAGTAGCATTAATCTCTTTCTTCTCAAAGTCATTTCTATCATATTCAGAGATAGGTTTAGGAATTACCTCATTTTCTGCATTGGTCTTGGTTACCTCGTAATCTCCTACTTCGATAGCTCGCCAGACTTGATAATTCTCGGACTGTATGAACATCTCCATCCTTGTCTTCCAATAGGCATAATACTTCCCATTGAAGAGTGGTGGTCTTTATGTAGAGTAACCTTCAGCTAGTCTCTCGTCCTTTGACATTGTTCCTCCAGGAACTTGACTCGACAGGGCTTCCTGCTTTTCCGAGTTCCTTGCTCTGATACCAATTGATAGAACAATGTATACTACAAGAGGGGGGGGTGAATTGTAGTGTATGTAGACTATGATAAATTTTGCGGAATTAAATCTACTACTAAGAGAAAAGACACTGAGATAGGCAATGAATAAATTCACTATGTAAAAATGATTTACAATCACTAATACGTTGCCTAGACTCAAGTTCCGTGAGGAACTCAAGTTACCCAACTGTGATCCCTCAATCACAGTTTCTCACACTTTGTGATTCTACTCCGAATCACTTGTACAGTGTAAACAACTCTCTCAAATCTCACACTTTACAACTCTCACAACCCAAACCCAATTACACAATGATTACAAGTATTTTCTAAAGAACTTAAGAGACTAAGGATGGAAGGAACTTCTCTTTTAAACACTTTGAAACTCTATGCTCAGAATACTTAAGATTGTTTTTCCACACTTTCAAAACTTAACGTTGATCTGTTTTTATAGGGAGATTATCCAAGCTTCCATCATGTTCCTACTTCCCCCTCAATCCCACGTTCACCTATACTAGGAAGTTGGGATGTAAGTGGAGGAAGTTAAGAACCATGATTTCACTAACTTGACTCCCAAATCCAACGTGCATCCTGTTTTTAAGCAAACAGAATTTTACCAAGTCAAAAATCAGTTTAAAAGAACATTTATTAAAAAGATAAATATTTATTTATTAAAAAGATATTTAAACAATTAATTAATTTAAAATAAATTTATCTTTTAAATTAAAGAATTATTTAGATTTTATTTATTTATAAAATAAATCTTTTCAACTAATTTTATCCCAATATTTTCAAACTGATTTTATCTCTTCCTTAAATTAAGGATTTTGAAAACTGTTAAAAACTTTTCTGAGTCATCCGTCAATCGTCAAGTTCCTTCAGGAACTTCAGGTTCCTTCAGGAACTTCATGTTTTTTCTTAGTTCCTTCCAACACTTTTGTTTCTTAAGTTCATACACTGAGTAACTAAGTATATAGAGATATGAGGACATCTTGAAAGCTTGCATTCATCATCAAGTCTTCCAAACTTTGTTGTTCCTACTCCGGAACATATTACTTCAAACCTGAATCTTCTGCTTAACCAAGACTCTTTTAAACATCATTAGTCGGAGTTTGTTTTACGTAAGTCAATCATCAAAATATAAGGTAGTCAATTCAACAACCTGGAAAGGCTTTCGACCCATATGTATAAAACTAAGTAAATGTTTGAACTAAGTACAAGCTGAGCAAATACTAAATCAAACAAGAAAGACTCTAGGAGAGACTTTCAACCGTATCATATAGCAAACAGTTTAGCAAGACTCGGTGAAACTGGATAAGCTAAGAGGTCACATAAATGGAATAAATTGGGAATAATTCTGCAATTGAAACCATCATGTGTTCTATGATATGGAGTCGTCACTAAACTTAGATGTTGAGAGAATGAGAAGTATAAAATACCAATCAATTTAAATCTAAGTGATGAATCGTTAGATTATGATCAAGAAAAATCCAAAGTACTTTGATAAGTAAAAAGGAGTAAGTTCTTGACGCAATTGGAAACAAATGTAATTTGAGAATTGATGTTGCAAGCACATCCTTAGCAAGGATTAGATCCTTAATAACGAAGTCGTTTATAAGCACGAGCTAGAATATGTCGTGGCTTGAGAATGGTAACATGGACGCGCATCAATGTATAATGTGCGGAAATTTAAGGTAAATTTCCATAATCACAAGTGATTAGGGTCTCCCAAATCATTGTGAGCCGTTTGGAATGAAATCCGAGCAAAGCACCATTAGAAAGTCTACTGAAATATATGTTGAGAATATTGTTGCCTGGAGGGCAATAATAAGAAAGTGTCCAATGAAAGTTCGTTGTTGAACGTTGATGATTGTAGGTTGTCAAGTTGAAGGATCTCAAATCGTGAAAATGAGTGGGAGCCATCAGTTGGACAATAAATCCTAAATCACATATGATCGATAACACTCTCAAAATTTTATCATCTTATTATGAAATTGTTCGATAATAATGATGCTAAGATTTGCAAAGTAATAATGACTACACCTACGCAATAAGTGAACGACAACATTCACCAGAAATGCATGAAAGTAATCAAGCATATTAAATATGGGTGTGATTTCTATAAATGTTTTGTGAGGAGTGCTACTCTTAAAACATTTGGGGAAAACCATTTATCATAATATGAAACGTTTGGAAGTTTCATAGTGGAATAAAGTTTTACTGATCAAATTCTAAAAACTATTTAATTGTGGTTTAGAATTAAATAATGAGTCCATTCGATTTATGAGAATATTCAAAACAGGGTATCAAGACCATGTCTTGGATAAATGAACACCTGTTAAGTGAACATTGAATATTTAAACGATGGACGATTAATGACCACTTGAGATTAATGTGTAGCATGATTTATAGCACCGTTTCTTGTGCTACGAGGACATGATTGTCATAAATCATTTGCACAGATATTGGTTTAGAACTATACCGCATCGATCTATGAGAATACTTGAAGAGATATAAAATCGTCATAAGTATATTTCTCATTATAACTATCGGAACCTTTTTCCTCGACAATGAGTAATGTAAGTTCTCTTGTTTGAGTACTAGTCGTTTTGATGTTGTCAAATGTCTACCGTAAATGGGGATTATAACGGCAACACTCGGGCGGCTACGTCCTAGGGAAGCTAACAATGCAAGACTGGGAATGTCCCCCTAATAACAATAGGGAACATGTCTTTGTTGTTTACAAGGCCTCTCGAAGAGCGAGACTGTGAAAATGCATTGCCGTGCTCAGATGGATTTTGGAAATCATCTGCTTATTGATAGTCGAACTCGGAAATCGAGAAACACTTCTGGACGTAATAAGGATGACGAAGAATCTTACCTTATAGTTCATGAAAAGACATTAAGTGACATAGGAAATGGTCTATACACTAATTGCACACTTGTTCGGAAGGACAAGTGGGAGATTGAAAGAAATAGAGTCCTTCCAACAAGTGTATTATTTCGATAGAGGGTTCAGAATTATTAGAAAGCTAATTCTTCAGTGAGGTCAAGTGATCAGAATGCCTAGGTGGAGGCCGCTTTCGATCAGTAATATTAATGTGTAATTAATATTACAACTTAATCTTGACTGAACCCTTCGGGTCAAACCCTATCCAATAACCGATACGAGACGACGAATCAATTTGAAGGATTAGAATTAGAGTATTACGAACAAAGACGTCGGATGTCGATCTTAGAGCGTCTAGACCGAGCGTCGCACGTCAAGTCGAGTTTAGAATTCGACAAGACGAGAAAAATCAACAAGCGAAAAGTTCGAGCTCAGCCGTAACCTCGCATTTGCCTAGCCATGCGAGTGCTTAGCTAGACTAGGCCATGCCCCATGCCGAGCTTGCTAACAGCGCATGCATGCTAGTAGCGCTGGCTAGCTAATGAGTATGGCATGGCCAGCATCGATGGCGCGCTATGTGTGCTAGCATGCTAGTGCCTCGCACATAGCAGCATTGTCACAAGCATCGCAAGGCCAGCAGCACGCAAGTGCTTGCTGGGCCTTAATACCGTAAGCATGCAACACATAGCACTCGCACAACAGTTCGTTATTCGTGCTTGTGCTATGGGTTGTGCATGCGTGCTTGCTAGCGAGCAGCACCAAGCGGTAACATGTAAGCTGGGTGGGCTGTGCATGCTAGCGTAGCAACACTTAGCACCACACAACTTGTTTCGGGGTTTTCTTTGTCTTTCGGGAGAGTTACAACACCAAGAATGGAATCCGGACGTTTGTACCTGCAAAACAATGGAGACTCTGGTTGGGGGAGTTCCGCCTCCAACGATCAAGTTAGAACAGATATGGAGTTTGTAATAAATGCGGAAGTTAAGAATCCTCTCGAATTACGAGATCAGGAGTAAATGATCTGCAATTAATATGCTCGGTTTTTTGGAATTGAATGTGAATTATTTTTAACCGGGAAATATCTCCCTATTTATAGGGTCTTAAAGTACGTGCCACGTGTCCAGAGGGGATTGGTTCTTACGAACCACTCTTAAGGTGACACGTGTCACACGCTGATTGGTCCACGTGGCATAGGGTATTTTTACCCTGAACATTTGCCCCTCTCAGATGTGACGTGGCATGCCACGTGGCATCGGTTACACTTGTCACTCGATCATTGGCTGACGGTAATAACCGTTCGCCTTCTAGGGGAGTTGTAGGGATGCCCCTTCGCATTACCCTCCTTTATATAGCCGTTCACCCCCTTCATTTAGAAAGAGAGAGTCAACCGGCTTCCAGAGAGAATTGTAGTGAAAACCCGCCTGCTCCTGCCTGTAAACATATCCAGTAAGACGTCTGTGATTGTCAGACAACAGAGCTTTTTGAAAACCGTTTGAGGGGTTTGCAAGCAATCTCTTTAATTTCCAGAGGCATATACGGGTATACCGTCTGTGCATCAATTAGTTCAAACTTCCAAAGACCGCTCGAGTACCCCCTAACAGATACACTTGCTTTCCAGAGGGTACATCCGGTCAAGCATCTGAGCTGGGTACAATAGCTTGGAAAGATGATCAATGCAATGCAAACGGGTATTTCGGCTGCTATGAGGCGACCTTTTTAGTTGGTCTCTGCTTCCCTCTGCACAACACAATAAAGACCATTTTAAGAGGATATGGCCTGGGCGTGTGGCAGTTAACCCCAAACTCTTAGGTTAACATCTTAGGCTACATCGCCGCTTGCGAAATGCAGGGTCTCCATCTCGGTTGGGAGGCTTTTTCCCACATGCACTACTTGAGTCGAAGTCCAAGCGGGTGGAGAGCACGGTATACTCTGACCACTTACCCCAA